CCCCCCCCCCCCCATTTAACCAAACAATATATTATACACCATAATAATAATAATAATAATTAAAATTCATAATAACGAGAGGGAAAAGGCAAAACTTCGCAGTTAAAGCAAGCGCTCACTCGTAATAAAAGTCAACTCACAAAACGACAACGAAAATTAATGATTTCAGGGCATTTTTTGTCTACCAAAAAAGAACTTTTAGACTGAAATCCCAATTTATAAACCCCCTTTGAATTTTATGGTTTAAATGCTATAAAAAAAACTTACTAATATTAATTAAAATAAAAAAAACCAAACCTTATTTGTAAATAGCAAATATAACTCAACGTTTGAATTTTAAAGTGCGCAGAGGATTGTTAACTTTAAAAAAAATATGTTTTCCTTGGGATTTTAGACATTAGAATTTTAATCGAGCCTAAGCACAAAAGAGGTCATGTTCGTACCACACATCCGAATGTTTGTCACTTTCTCCGTCATATGATTCAAAAATCTAATGTTTTCCGACCATTTCCAAGATTGTGTCTGTGTATATATATGTATGTGTGTATATATATATACCTTGCACGAGTGGCGGAGGGAGATGTGATGAGATTCGAGACGATACTCGTGCATGACCCACTTGGTCTTGATGCCACGTGGAGCCCTCCCTTTGTAGAACACCAGGGTCTTCTTCATACCCATCAGCTCCGTCGCCGCCGGAGCTCCTCCTCCGCCGGAGATCTCCTTGTCTTTTCCGGTGGCTTTCCAGTAGCCGGCGGCGGTTGCTCTGTTCGTCCTCAGCCCCGTCGGATACTTCCTGTCCCTTAGGCTGAAAAAGTACCACTCTTTCTCCCCCATCTTCGCCATTTCTTCACATAATGCCCACCAACCACCAAAAAAAAAAAGGAAAAAAACGTATAATATGCAAGAACTATTTATATGGTTCTCTCCTTGATAACTAGCGTTACTTTCCAACCCAAATTCGACTCTCCACTTGAAAAATGTCATTCATCTCGATTTTCCGATCCTCTGAAAAATATAATTAGGTCAAAATTCGATAAATTTACTGATTATAAAAAAAAATATATAGCTAGAACCCTTAATGTTTTACAAAAGAAAAAGAAACCCTAAACAACTGAAATTAAATTACCGAGTTAAAAATTCACAACTAAAGATAATATTGTACCAATACAGTGGGTTATGCCTCTAAATGATCCAAGATTCTGATTTTCTCAAAGAAAATACAACCCTTTTGAGAAAAGAAAACACCCATTTGAAAGAAGAAGAAGAAGAACCTGGAAGTTCCCAGGGCTCGCAGCGATTGAGATCGACCTCAGGAAAGTGAAAGCCAAAGAGGCCGCCATTGAAGACCTTTGAAGCCAAGTAGAAGCTCACGAGCTCCTCGTCCGTCGGATGAAACCTAAATCCCGGCGGCAAACCTCTTTCTCTCCCTTCCTCTCCGGCCAGTTCACTCATCACATCTTCCACTCCCAACATCATCGTCATCATTATCTCCATCTATAATATGATTATGGCTTATACAACTTTTTTTTTTTTTGGTGATAACCCATGTACATGCAAGGTGTTGTATTTATATTATATGAGGAAAGATGCAAGTGAGCACGTGATTCGAAGTGTATATGCGTATGTATAGGTGTGTGTATTTTGAGTGTTTGAGGTTTTGAGGGCATTGATAATAAGGCTGTGAAATTCAGGAGGAAGCAGAAGCGTTTCCCTATTTGCCCGCACCTGGGGAGCTCTCACGAGTCCCTTTCTTTTCTTTTTCCTTTTTTTTTAGAAGGAAAATGAAAAAGGCAGTAATGGAGGCATATGTTTTATTTTTTTTTACATTCAGCCATCACATTCTATGTTCTATTGTTGTGTTTTGGTATCCGGTTCGAGCTCGATATGGTATTTGATTGATTCGGGTTATTCGATTCTAGAAAAAAATAAAAATACATATCAATCAGTTTATTATATTCGGTTTTTGATTTTTTAATTTTGGATTCGGTTCAATTTGGAGATATTCGGTTTTCTAAAAAGATTACCATGGAACTTCTTTGTTTTTTTTTTTTAATTTCATAAATCAAACCTCTTTAACTCACAAAAGTTAACTTTAAATTATCTAAACTAATATTTCTAAACTCCACGTGTAGCCTTATTAAACTGTTATTATCTTTCCAAACTATATTATATTCACAAATAATATTTGTCTAACAAAAATAATAAATAAATTTAGAGGAGTAATTAACTGCAGATGTCGGCGGTCGCACGTGTGGAGTATGTATAGAATGAAAGATGGTGGATCAGGTAAATGTAATAATGGACCTTACAGTTACTATAACAAATAAGATACGAAATAAAATAAAGGGAAAAAGGAAGAGTCGCACAGTAAAATCTGTATTAAATAAAATTAACTGCCCACGCGATCTTATGGTAAATCTCCCAAGTCTTTCTTTTTCCCCTTCAACGACTATGTATTTATAGGTCTGCAGGAGGCCTACCCTTTGGACCCTCTCCCTATTCACTTATTTTCTATTCGTAATTATTATTTATATACGAAAAACACTGTTTTCTAATATTTCAATAATTGTATATAAGAAATAAACTGTTTTGGTTTGAATTCCCATAATTGAAATGAATCAATCTTTCATAATAAAAAAAAAAGAAATGAATCAATCCAATAAAATTTTGTATAATTCAAAAGAATATATATATATGTGTGTGTGTGTATATTGGCGTCAGTAATTGCCGTATTTCAGACCTTTGGTTTCACCGGTTACTCTTTTTTTTTTTTGTAATGGTAAATTTTATATATAAAAGATACAAAATACAAAAATATTTGTTTTACATCATTGTACATTGGTTACTCCTTTTTATACTAGACGAGACCCCTATATATGTATGCATGTATATATGTATATACGTACTTACTGATTGCATTCAGTATTTTTTTTTTTCATTTCAATGTACAATGACTATTTGTTTTTTTAAATAATAAATAATCGCAATTGTTCATCCAATAATTTATCACCTGCTGTACTTGCATAGGCTTACATAAGCCTACAAATTATAAATGTTATTGAAAATTTGTAAGATTAATTGAAATTATATTTCCCAGGAGTCTAGCCATCTAGCCCTGATGATCTTTTTCTGTGTTTTTTATATTAAAAAATTATTTATTTTTTCTGCGTTACCCACGTGGAAACGTCCACTAAATGCTGTTCCTCTCGTTGGGAGACAAGTATTACAAGCATTGGTTTATTTTTAATTATTGTTAATTTATATTTATATTTTTAGTTTATGCTTGATTTAATCGGTTAAATATGAAAATGTTCAATAAATATTTTTTATGGTTGTAAGTTTCATTTAAAATAATTATTTCTGCGGTTATTATTATTTATGCTATACTGGAATCGGATTTATTTTTGACCGTTTTTCTTATAATTTTGAAAACAAAAATATTAACCTAAAGAAGAACGAGATTAGTCTGAATGTACAAAGTTTAAAGTTCGTTTAGAATGCCTCGTTGTAAATAAAAATATCATTGTAAATGGAAATAGCCATTGCCCCACGTTAATTACCAAAAATCAAACTTCCAAAAAGGAAAATTATTTGTAATTATAAAAACTAATTTATATAAAATTAATATTGATTTATTTATGCTTGTAATAAAACTAAATTAATATTTTATTTTTATTGTATAATTAAGATTGAATAATAAAATTTTCTGGATTAATTATATATAGATATATTATTTTGAATTTAATGTACAAACAAATTTATAAAATATCTCGTATTCTATAGTTTTATTATCGTAAATTTCGAGAATCTAACTTTTCTTCGGTCTAGTTTACCACTAGTAGACATCTTCCATATTTTTAATCAGTCGATTGTTAATTTATCATGTTTTTTTTTCATTCATACTGAATATCATTTAATAATTTATTTTCATCGTTATATATATATATATATATATATTGAAAAAAATAAATATAGTAACAAATTAAAGTAAAAAAAAATTAATGGGTCAGATTTAACTTCGTTTTTTGGGTATGATAGGAATATAGAATTGTAAAAAAGAGAAATGGTACGATCACAAAAAAAAAAAAGACGTACGAAACAGCACCGACCCGATCTCTTAGAGAACGACCTCTCAATAATTCCATTCCTTCACAAGCAATCTCTCTCTCTCTCCTCCTTGTTTTTTGTTAAATCTTTTTATTAATTGGATTATAATCAGATAAAAAATATCCTATAAAAAAACTTTATAAAATTTTTGGTTAAATTTATAATGTTTGTGGTGTATATTTGTCGTTATAATATATTTCTTTTAGAATTTGTTATTCAGTGGTCTTTTTATGTAATAAAATGGTACACATTTAGGAAAATACAGAAACAAAAACACAATATCGCAGTTTGCAGAAAAATAAATATTAAAAGTATTATTTATTAGACGAAATATATATCGAAAATGACATCTCCGTACAGTGTGGCAATTAATGCGAGAGGATTGAAGAATTTGGGACGGATGAGGTATCATTAATTAATATGGGAAAGAATTGGAGGACCAATTATTTCTCCCACGCATTATAGTATATAGTTTCATTATTTATCCCGAGAAAAGCGAAAAAGAAAAAGAATACAATTATATGAAATACGATAAACAAAAATTTAACGACGAGAAATTATAATTTACAAGGATTTTGTTGTGATGTAGTTGTCTTCGGGTTAATTTTATGCGTATCCGGCCGTGATCAACATATAACAATAGTTTAAGAAAAAATTCATTGGATATTATACATATATGTACACACACACACAATTATAAAAATTGTTACGTTCTTGAAAATTGAACTCTAATATATAGATTCCAAGAACAATAAGATCAACTACTATGATTTTTCATATTTTAGTATTTTACACATCTAAAAATCTTACATAACATATTGCATAGGAGTGCGTATCTCTCCATATATATATATATATATATATATATATATATATATGTTTTTATTGTTTGCTTGAATATTAAGACACTATTGAAATGATGGTTCGACTTCGATTAATTCACTCACGAACGCATTATTTGAATGCTTGGTCCCAGACATTTACCGTTATAATTATACCCAAAAAAAACATTAGCGTATACTATATAAAGCAAACACGAGATGAAATAATCACCCGACTTTGTTAGAATTAAAGGCATATTAATGCATTTTTTTTGTTATACCACAAGGTGGTCTTGAATGACGTTCAACTATGAACCGAGATCTTTAAATCTTGTATATTCAGACTAATCTCTATTCGTCTCTGAATCAGTGCACAAAACGGTAAAAAACTAATTCAAAGAATAGTTTTATTTCCAAGATAGGGTTCGAACCCTGATCTCTGGTTAAGAGACAAAGATGATGAACCATCTATACCAACTCTTCAGTTTGCATATTAATGCATTTTTTGTTGTCACTACAACAATATTAGGGCATCCACACACATATATACGCATACATTATGTATGTGTATATAATATAATTGTGTATGGATATGTAGAGAGAGAAGGCACACGTGTGGAGATGAATAACGTAGAGGAAGTGACAAGAAAAGGACAAGAGGAGGGGAGTGGATCGAAGCCGGCAGACCAAACACGTCTTGGTTGTTTATATTTTTATATTTTTATTTAATACGTATATTATATAGCTTAGGGAACCCTATTTCTGATTTTTTTTTTTTTTTTTTTGCATACTCGTCGTCATTCATGTAGCTTAGTTCTTATTTTATAGCACTAGGTTCGAGACTCATTTAATATTGGATATAATATAGGATTGCTCTTATATTTTTCGCAAATTTTTATAATAATATAATAAAATTGTACACAAACACACAATATAATAAATACAAATGAAATTTGAAACTAAATTAAATGTCTTAAAATATAAATTCGCCTTCATTTCTTAAGAGGATAGGATATAAAACGATATCATAACATCTGTGAGATTTTGTGACCAGTCTACTTTGTATTTTTCTTAGAAATTCGTGGATATAATTTTTCTTTAATAAAATGCCTAATTTGATCAATATTTATGAAAATATTATAAGGATTTGTTTAAATATTTTTTAAAAATTTTATCTCTCGCATTGTCAGCCACATTCTCAGATATCTGTATTCCTCTCTCGCATAATGATGATAAAAGAAAAGAAAAAATTACTTTTTTGGGCTTTGCATATGTGGGCTTTGCTTTAGATGTCTTGGGCCCAATGGGCCTAAAATGGGCCTATTGTGATAGCGACTTTTAAGAGAGTCCAAGATGAAAAGCTTGCAAGGAAGGCACAAACATAGAATATATGATGATCATGGTGAGTAAGAAACGGATAATTTTACAAATAGCATTAATAAAAAGAATTTATATTGAGAGATATCTTTAAAATATTTTCATTGCTAAATTCGACCATACCATATAAATATTTAGAATCTGCATATGATAACATAAATTTCAATAACTAAATTGATCGATATTCGTTACTTTGGCCCTTACCTTATGGCATTATTTGCCCCTCAATAGCAATTTCGTTTTTCGAAACTTGCCCCTTTTTTAATTTCTTAGCATCTACTTTATGCTTTTCTTGTTTGAATCTCGGTTGCTAAATTTTATGATATTCATCGATTTTTAGCTCTTATTTCATATTCATTAATCGTTTTTTTAAAAAAGTGGGTGTTAATTGTATGCACCGTGCCATGTGCAGACTTGAATCTCCAAATGAATAATCATTAATTTGTATTTAGTTTTAATAATAAACTAATCTATTAGATATATGGAATATAGTTTAATGTTTATAGAAATATCATACGACTTTTTGTGATGAAAAAGGAATTAGAGAATCAATTCATGAACCAAGCTGCAAGAAAGAACTTATCTAATGTTATTTAAAGCCTCTTTATTGTCTTCGAGTCTCATTTGTCTGATTATTTACATCCATATACCAAAAAAACAACCAAACCTCGTTTGGTTTTTTCGATTGTGTCTCCCCTCTCGAGAGATGGCTCAGACATTCATTTCGAGTCATGGTCATCAGACAAAACTATTACAGAGCCCACACAGAAGATACTGCGAGTTTTGTATTTTGCCCAAATCCGCAGTATATCGTTGCATAGAATGCGATGCAAACTTATGTGGAGATTGCTTCAAGATCCCCCAACAAATTTCCCACAATCATCATCAGGGTCACGTTCTGCGGCTAATGTTAACTCCAAAGTTGTTTTATGGGATTGAACCTTCTCCTAATTATAATGGGTTGTATTTTTTAATATGCAAAGGGTGCCATTATATATCCTATCCCCGGGGGCATTATAGATGTGACGAATGTGAGTTTAGCATGTGTGTTGAGTGTGGCATATCGATAACGAGCAAGATTCCGCTCGGGTGGGAAAATAACGAGGAATTCTCCCATTGGAGCGATATGCACCGACTTGTGAGATGTAGGTTTAGAGAGTATGGTCTTCACGTAGAAAATGTTCTTTACGAATGCAACATATGCGAGCTCTCGATGTGGGGTACTGGTTACGCTTGTCTTGAACGTAGATGCAACAACTTCATACATGAGTCATGCATCGGCATACCTCGAGTCATGCGCTATCCTTTGCACTCCCATCACACTCTCGCTCGTCCTGATCTCATGAACCTTGACTATAAGTACTTGCAGTGCAAGGCTTGCAGGCGGAATCTCAAGCCGTTCGGAAACGAAATGACTTATGATTGCAGTGAATGCGAGTTTGCATTGCATTTTCAATGTGTGACTTCAACGCTCCGATCGATAAAGTTTGGATCTCATGAACATAGTCTTGCGAGCGTTCGACTCATCTACTCTAGATATCGATGTCGCGTCTGTGAACAACCAGTCTTGAATCACGGTCTGAGGTGTATGGAGTGCAATGAATATTTTCACGTGAAGTGTGTTTCTGCTCCGAGAGAGTGGAAACACGAGCGTCATGAACACAAACTTAGGCTTTCGGGTGTATCTGTTCGTGGATCTCTATGGAGCGAGTATTCATGTGACGTGTGTGAGGGGATGATCAAGGGAGCAACCGCCATTCCTATTTACGGATGTAAACACTGCGAGTTCTATGCCCACATCGAATGCGTTCTATCTCCGGTTAGTTCCTTTGTTCCCATTCTTTGTAATTACTATTATGTTTTCCGCCCGTGAAAAGGATTATATTATTATTTAAATTAATTACATGAAAAGGATTATAATTATTTTAAATGTAATGAAATTTTATTTTACTTTAAATGGCTCGAAAAACAAAATTAGGTACTCTAATTAGTAATCGGTTTAAAAGCATAAAAATACATTGGTGTTTTATTGAATAGAATATGGATTTGAGCCGTCTAAAAAAACACTAATGATACATTTAATACTTGAATGGTAATAGTTTTTATTTTGCGTTTTTTATTTTTTGTAAATAAAAAAGAAAAAAGAGTTTTTAGTTTTTAGTTGATTTTTTTTTATGAAAGTGATTTTTCACGTTTTTAGGAAAACTAATTTTATATAAACTTGCTTATCATTTTTTTTTTGGTTTTCAAATTTTAAAAACTTCAAAAGTCTCTTCTATTCAAGACCTTACTTTTTATTGGGTAAAAGCTTGGTTTTTTTTTTTTTGACAAATAGAAATGCAAAATTTAGGTGCTCAATTTATCAATTGTCGTATTTTTGGATTTTTTTTTTATCATATAGAAAGATGGATTGGAACAATATTCATCATCCTTGTGGCGAGAAGATGACAATCAAAACAAGGGAACGCATGATTCCAATTATCCAAGTATTAAAAAGGTATGAAAAACTTCCATATTATACATTATAGTACACAACAACAACATCGTCTTAATACCAGGTTTATTTAGAGTCGACCGCATGAATTCTTCTTTTTCATTCATTTCGGTTTTGCGTCGTATCCTCCGATATTTGCAAAAATCATAATCGAGGGATTTTGTATCCACTGACATTGTTAATCTCATTAAGCAGATGAAAAAGGAGATTCATGACCATCCATTGAGATTGCAAGACGCGAGTAATAAACTTTGCGAGATGTGTAATCTCCAAATAAACGACCAAGCCTACGCATGTGATGACTGTCATGCTTTCTGGGTTCATAAGGAATGTGGAGAGTTACCTCAGACCTTAGTCGACCATCCTTTTCATCCCCTTCATAAGCTCCGTCTCGTTAGACGGCCGTTGAAAAACATTTTCGTATGCGATGTCTGCGGAGATGCTTCAAAAGGGTTTAATTTCTACTGTCGATCATGCGATTTCGTCATAGATATCAAATGTGCATTCCTAAGTAAAGCTGGACAGACATTCTACGACAAACACGGCGGAAAGACTCTCGAACACGCTCTCCACCAACAACACAAGCTGACCCTTGCCAATTTTGGGTCATACCGGGAGAGAAGATGCAAAATGTGCGGAGAACTCCTCCTCGGCCTATCATACGTTTGCAAACGGTGTGTTTGGGATTGCAGTTTCCACAAAGCGTGTATGGAATGGCCGAGCTCGGTTGAGGGACATCCCATTCCTCCTCATCATCGTCTCCATCTCGGTGATACTTATTCATGGAGCATTCCTTACCTACCAAAATGTTTTGCATGTGGAGACAGAATAGCATCGTACTTCGGCTATAAAACTGTGAATTCAGAAAACGGTCTATTTTATTACCACATTGAGTGCGGAACTTCTTTGGCTCGTCTCTTGAGGCGTGGAGGTCATCCCCACCTGTTCTATTATGTTCACATCAGACCTTCTAAAGGTGGGGATAGTTACTTGATTCTTAGTTGCGCCTGCTGCGGACAAGAAGTGAAGAATTCCTACTACCGATGCATCAAGTGTAGTCTCTATTTCCACCTCGGATGTCTTTGTAAAGCAAAATGGCTACCAAGCGCCGCCAAACACGAACAGCATATGCATCTCCTCTCTCTCAAGAATTACGTCGACTACGGAGGATACTATTGCGATGCCTGCGAAGAATCCAGAGACTCTCAGCATCCTTGCTACGCATGCGACGACTGCGGATTCGTCGTCCATGTCGAATGCATTGTTTCTGAGGTAATATACGCTACTTGTTCATATCTTTAATATATATATATATATATATATATATATATATATATGGCTTTGAATATGTGTTATTATGGTTGTGTTGTCAGGAAAATGCCTCTAGTGTGACACTTGAAGAGATCCAAGGCGATGACGGTGTGAAGATCCAAGAGTGTTCGTGAGATTTGTGTATATCGACTGGAGACAATCTATTTGTGTATTCATTTTATTGCTTGTGAGATTAAAAAACAAAATAATAATCTCAAAGGGGAAAATCACATTTATTGGGTCTAATCTCTAATGGTTTATCATCTTTTTGTGTTAAGGAATCCAATCGTAGACAAAACAAACAAGACACTTAAACTATGGCAATGCAAAAACTAGGACAGAGATAGATCATTGTGTTTTAATCACTTCCGTTAGTCTTTAATGCATTGATTTTTATCACATGAGACCATGAGTTCCTGACTTGTCGGAACCAACTGGTTAGTTAGTTCAAGGTTCGTGTCTGATGATGACAGCCTCAAAGATACCGTCTGATCGGAAGTTAAGAGACAAGAGCCGAGGATCAACTGGTCCGGGAAGAGTGAACGACAGAGTGAACGGTCCCGGCGGGCATAGCTGCCTCATCTTTATCTCGAAAACCCGAGACTGTTTCTTGATCGTTATCCCGCCACCCATCGAGCCCTGGAGGATAACCTTCCCATCCGATTCGACCTCGCAACTGAATTCACCTGCACAAACAGAAATCATTCATGTACTTCACATTCCCGGTTTGATCATGCTGCTAAGAAGTATATGCAAAAGATATGAGATTTGCATTTTTCATATGGGGCAGTTGAATGATGGATCATGGATGAGTAAAGATGTAGATCAATGGAGGGTAGAGCTGAATCATACAGTGATCTTTGCAGAGACCCGGTAAGGAAACCCGGAAAAAATAAGCGACTTTATTGATGCCGATGTCAACGACGCCAACCGTTGGCCCGAGAATTCCTTTAGTCGCGGTTCCAATCAATCTGATCGATGCATCTGAAATGGGTTCATCCGGTGGAATGACAGGCTGATCTGTCTTGTCTCTTTCGATCGGTACGTTCCCGTTCTCTTTTGCGGAAGTTGCAGCCTTTGGTGAAGCCCTGTTCCGTCGTCTCCTCTTGTATGTCTCCAGAAACCTTTCCGAGGTTCTACGGGTTCCACAAGCAGCGTTGCCTCCACCCGTTTCTAAGTTTCTGCCATTGCAGCTTTCTTGAAGCTCGGCAGATGAATAAGGGTTTTGGTCAGATATCGTCAATTCCTTGTTTCTTGAGAGATTCTGCTCTTCTCCCCAGCTTCCATCCTGCCCACGTCGATAAGACAACGACAACACTCTGTCTATTTTCACGTCATTCAACCGTGATAAACATCTGAATCTTTTGAGATCTTCCTTGCTTATGCACGATACTGCGGGGTCATCAATAAGAACAATCCCCTTCACAATCTCATGAGCAAAGGAGTACCTTTTATGTTCATGAACGTTCAACGGGAAAAAAGACGTGAACTGTCGAAACCCCCCGGCCAGATCACCCTTCAGATACGTATAAAACGTGTCTACCTCAACAATGAGGTTAGACTCGGCATATCTCAGTACATAATAGTACAAGCTCTCTAGCTGCGAAACACTGAGAAACGAAGATCCGAGGTGCTTCAAAGTGTAAGGCGGCATAATTCTCGCTAACCTATGAGACGCCGAACATCTCGGGTTTTCGGAATAAAGATCCGGCCCCAAGTAGTTACTCATGATGAAATTTAACAGGAAATACTGATCCCTTGTTAATCCATTCGCCGAGGAGCTCATATTCAATCTTTTTCCACGTGCATTTATGCCTGCATAACATCCGAATGACAAGCCAAATATGTAAATGATTGACAGCATTGAGTTTTGTCGGCTTAAGGTTTCTAAAATTCGATTAAACCTTCACTCCCTATGTTTCTGAAGCAACTGTTCTTATTTGCAGAGAATCTAACAGAGAACATATTGCAATTAGCAATCACTTGCAGAGGATCAGATTGATCAAGATGTTGTCTAATCTTAAGTTCAACTTAGAAAACATGTTCAATCAAACGCTCATAGACAAAGATAGAACGAGTAATCACTCATCATTAAGCTGACCATTCAGACAAATCTGCATCCATCAAAATGCAGAACCTAACAGAGATTTTTTTTTAAAAAAAAAAAGGTTAAACCCACAAGCAAAGATCGAACTTTTGCAAATGCAAACCCAATAATTTTGCATACGCACCGAATTTTAACCAATCAAAAGGATATCATAATCAAGCCGAGAAACCTGTTAAACAAACAAAAAAAAGACTCAGACGCATTTCACGAGATTTCCAACTTAAGAACACAAGGCCATTATGCTTAAGGACGGCATTATCCATACGATTAAACAAACCCGATAGATTTCAGATCTCATTCCATCACGCTTACCATCAGTAGGAATCGAACAAAAATCTGCTGTCTTATGACCCTGATTCTGCCCTAAAATGAAGATTTCTCTCACAGATCATTCTCATGAGAACCACACATTTATCTGATGAAAAAAACGCAAAAAAAAAAAACAAAACGGAAACTTCATCAGAGAGAGGAGAATCTCGAAATCGAATTACCTCTTCCTTTTATTTTTTGGTACGTGACGAAGAACACAAGTTCAGCAG